ACTTTCACCTCAAAGAACATAAAGAATCTCATGAGGTCTTTCTCCAATTTTCGCTTCTTCTAGAGTTTCAGTCTCCCCTATGTGTTTTACTTCTCTCAAGTTTTCCTTCCTCATCCCCCATCTTGAGCCCAAAGATGAACACAACTTTCTTTCCCTGTAGTTTAATGATGAAACACCAATACAATACCAGTGATGTAGCAGGTTTTCCCTAAAGATTGGGGTAAAGAAGGGAATTACACTCCAGCACAACACGACAAAAATTTAACATTTATCTGGGGATTTAATGTACGGCGTAGTAACTATAGTTAACAATACTGTATCATATACTTGAAAGTTGCTAAGCGAGTAGATTTTTTTAAAATTTACTTTTTAAGTTATTTTATTGAGGTCATAATGGTTTATAACATTGTATAATTTCAAGTGTACATTATCATATACCAGTTTCTGTATAGACTACATTGTGTTCACCACCAACAGTCTGGTTTTTATCCGTCACCATACATATGTGCCCCTTTACCACCTTCGCCCCCCGACCCCACTTCCCCTCTGGTGACCACTGATCTGTTCTCTTGATCTCTGTGTTTACTTATCTTAAGAGAGTAGATCTTAAATATTCTCACCCACTCCCACCCCCCAGAAAGGTAATTGCTAATTGCTTGTGGAGTTGGAGGTGTTAACTACCTCTATTGTGGGAATTGTTTTGCAATATAAAAGTGTACCGAATCATCCAGTTGTATACCTTCAACTTGCACAGCCTTATTTGCCATTTATATTTCAATAAAGCCAGAAAACATTTTTTAAGATTTCCTATTAATTATTTCTACTGTTAAAATTCCTTTGGCTCTCCCTCACAATGGGACATTCTCACCGATTTTGAGAAATGTCCCTGCCTCCAGCCAGATTCTTGTACCGTTTCCTCGTCTTCACTCCAATGCCAAGTGTCCAACACCATTCCCACTGACGGGAGGGGGGAGACCTATTGACCTGCAAGCAGAGTTCTATTGCCTTTTCCACTTTGTCCTTGAACCCGCCCTTTCCATATTCGTAAAAATACCAGCCAATCGAGAGATTTCTATTGTGGGCCACGTATTTTGCAGCTCAAAGGAGGAGCAGAAACTCTGGATTTGCAGTTTTTTCTTTCCTGACAAAATTCTTGGATATGGCCCCTTTCTCATCAGTCTGTGTAAGCAGAAGCAAGCACTGTAGAGAATTATCCTCTTCAGAAGAGGGATTATTTGATGCCCCCTGGAAGGCAGAAATGGCTATAGTCCATTTGCAGTTAGAAAAAAAGCAACCATTTCTGTTGAGCTGTAACTTGCTATCCCCGGTTTGTGCCCTAGGGCCTTGTTTGGGAATTATGCTCTCAGAAGGAAGAACTCTGGGGGGGACTGCTTGCACAACCTGGCTTAAGCAGTTTATTCACATTCTGGGGAGTTCTTTGAGCCATCCTTGATGATGTCCACTGGATTAAAAAAATCCATCACGTAAAATTATTAGAGTAGATTAATGTTACTGAGGCACAGTTCTGATCTTGTCACTTCCCTGTTTAAAATCAAAACAAAACAAAATGGCAGTCCTTTTATCCCACTGTTCTGCTCCGGCTCCCATTGGCTTTTAGAACAGATGAGAGGAGGAAGTCTAGTGACAGTGCTGTCTCACGACGGCCAGGGCTGTCGGTGCGTATTTTCCTCCTTTCCATCCCAGGCCGAAATAAACACGGTGTCCACGGTCTGCTATTAGCAACATTGTGACAATGGTGTCTTTTCTTCTGATCCCTATCTTGCCAGTTCTTTACCCCTCCCTGTCTTTGGTAGTATTCAATGTCCTCAAACTCTCTTCCTGTTCCCTATTGTAACTTGCTCCATTCAAGGCCCAGAAATATTTCACACTACAGAGACTATTAATGATAACAACTACAAGTCTAACCTATTAGGTGGTGAGTTACTGGATGACGGGGGCTTGTTAGGAGAGTGTGTATGTGTGGCAGGTGACAGTGTTCTACATTCTAGCAAAGGTCCCAGCCTTACACTCAAGGCACAAGGTAGAAATGGAGGCATTTGGGGCACCAACAAGAGGGTACAGGAGATACTGGGATTTCTTCAGATCCAAAAAGCATATTTTCCTCTTTCCCCCCATGTTAATACTTCTGACAAACCTTCTAATTGATATAGCCATTGAATGTGCTAGTTCTTTTGCTTTCTCTTAAAAGTTACCAATAAATTGAGGCTATGCCTTATAATCAGCATGAACTTTGCATAGAGTGAGTTTTAATGGGAAAGAGGAAGAGAGTTGGAAGGCATTGAATGCTACCAAAAGGAGGAAAGAGTAAAGAAACAGAAAATTACTGAGAATTAAACTAATAAATTGATGCTTTGCCAATAAATTGATGCTGTGCCAGTGAAATGTTGGAAGCAAGGAATACCTTGCTATGAGAGGCACGAAGTTTCCTTCACATATCAAACCATTAAACATTCTGCTTGCCGACTGTCTTGAAATCCAAGACTAATGGAAGTTATGTAGACAATACCGTTTCTTTTTTTATCTTTTCTTTATTTTTTTTTAATGGTTTATAACATTGTGTAATTTCGGGTGTACATTATTGTTTATCAGTTCCTGAATACACTTCATCGTGCAACCCTTGGTAGTCTGATTTTTGTCCATCATCATACATATGTACCCATTTATCCCTTTCACCCACCCCCAATCCCCTTCCCCTCTGGTAAGCACTAATCTGTTCTCTTTATCCATATATTTGTTATCTTCCACATATGAGTGAAATCATGCAGTATTTGTCTTTTTCTGTCTGGCTTATTTTGCTTAACATCATACCATCAAGATCCATCCATGTTGTTGCAAATAAGAAAATTTTGTCTTTTTTATGGCTGAGCAGTATTCCATTGTGTGTGTGTGTGTGTGTGTGCATACACATACATATATATATACATATATTTATACATGTGTATACCACATCTTCTTTATCCATTCATTTGTAGAAGGGCACTTGGGTTGCTTCCACATCTTGGCTATTGTGAATTGTGCTGCAGTGAACATAGTGGTGCATAAATCTCTTTGGATCATTGATTTCAAGTTCTTTGGTTAAATACCCAGTAGTGGGATAGCTGGGTCATATGGTATTTCTATTTTTAACTTTTTGAGAACTCTCCATACTGTTTTCCACAATGGCTGCACCAGTTTGCATTCCCACCAGCAGTGTATGAGGGTTCCCTTTTCTCCACATCCTCTCCAACATTTGTTGTTTCCGGTTTTGGTAACTGTAGCCATTCTGACTGGACAACACCGTGTCTTGACAAAAGCTAATTAAAACCAGCAGAACACGTCGACTCTTGAGCTTCAAGCTCCTGCTATTTCACCTCAGGACCTCATAGATAGAAGGATGGTGTTTTGAACCAATATTCACCTGACTTGTACAAGTTGTTAACATGCCTTGTGGATTGAATATTAACAATTAAGTGGTGTTAATATAAAGTACGAAATAGTCAAGTCTCCAAAAGCCAGAGTTCTGATTTTCTGCTGAGACCATTACAAACAAAAACCTGTTATACAATTAGAATGCCTCATGGTAAAATAATTAAAAGCTTGGGTTAAGATAAAAATATTAAAGATCTAGTTTTCCATGAAGACTGATCATACCGAGTCTGCAACCTTGGAGGAGGAATTTTAACCACAGGACACAGATAGCTCCTGGCAGAGTCTTTGTGTATTTATTTGTGCCTAAAAGCACATTTCAGGCAGCAGAGCTTCCTGTGGCCTAATTCAAATCAACGGAGCACAGTAGGGAGTGAAGACGGTATCCAGTCTAAGCAAATAATCAAAGCTTTATGCAGTTCTCCAGACGTCAATAGCAAAATTAGAGTTTCCTCTGTTTAATAGAGGAATGCGTCTGACCTTGGGCATTATGGGTAATTTATATTTTCTTCATTTATTTTTTTGATTATCTCCTTATTTTAGACAGTGGCTGCTGTTTACTGGGCACTATGCACCAGGCTTCGTTCCTCTGTCTTCAAGAAGTTGGTCAGCTACGACAGCTGACTGACTCCTTCAGACACACAAATAGAGGTTCTTTAACAGGTGAGGACATTGCAGAGAACAAAGGAAGACCCCTTGAAGGCTGCTTCCTGCGTGGGTTGGGGCGCAGGAGATGCGAGTCAGGGAAGACTCCCAGAGCCCAGGAGACATGAACTAGATCTTGTGGAAGAGACAGGCTTTGTAGAGGTGGGGTCAGCAAAGACCCCTGAGAAGGGAGGAGAAGTCTGAACAAAATAGAGAAATTGTCCCCCAAAGGCTTGCTGGGGGCACTTCAGAACTATCCACAGAGTCGAACCAGAGCAGAAACAGGAATCTATAACTGGATTTTCATTCCTTCTCTTGTTTGTCCTGGTCCTAACTCTGACTTAGCCTTTGGGTACAAGTGTTTTAAACCAGTCAAAATGAAGGACAGATGGAGAAGAGAAACCTGAGGACTACAAACAATTTATTAATTACTGGTAAATCCATTTTCTAAGGCCTAGAGTAGAGAGAATGGACTGTTATGGTCCAGAGTGCTCCACTGTAAACACAGATAACAGCCAATGAGGTAGATCTTACTGTCTTTCATTTTACAGATCCATCAAAAGATGGTCAGGAAGTTTGAGGTGCTTAAAAACTCGTAATAACCCTGCAAGGTCTCCTCCTCCCCATGCTCCAGATGAAGCTCAGAAAGCTTAGACGACTTGTCAATAGTACCACAGCTCACTTCTGGTTGAGCGGACTTGAGCAAAGGTCTCCTGACTCCTAGCTCTTTGCTCCTTTCCCTCCACACCCACTGCCGCAGGCAATTGCAGGTACACATCCTCCACCCTCCCTTACTCCAGAGAAAGACACCACTGAGGGTTCTGTTTGCATTTTACAGATTCCATTTCACTAACTGAAAATGCTGAGGTGGTCAACTTGTATCACTTCCATGTTTCCCAGTAATGTTTAACCTTAAGTCAAAACAATCTAGGAGATAAAAGAGCATGTTATCTGGCAAGTCCATTCCACCCCCGGTGTATTAATTTCAGAACACATCTGAATTCCTTCTCTGTGGCATATGCTTTAATAGAGGAACAGACAGCTCCTGGCCAGGGTCAGATTCTGAGTTCTCCTCTGTTGGTACCAGTACCACTTTGTAGTCCACGTTGGAGATCTTCCCTGAGCACAACCTGGGGCCTGAAGATACACACCAGTGCCTCTGGTCATCACTGTCTTCGGAGAATCACAGCCTCCTCAAGACAGAGCATCCGCTGCACTGAGCTCTGCTTTCAGAAGGAACTTGTCCCTGAGACCTGGTTGAAAGCAACTCTCTGGTGCCGTCCCCCCCAGCTATGGAGGTGAAGAGCTTCGTGGTTTGGGATTATGTCGTGTTTGCAGCCCTCTTTATCATCTCCTCTGGAATTGGGGTGTTCTTTGCTATTAAGGAGAGAAAAAAGGCAACTTCGAGGGAGTTCCTGGTCGGAGGAAGGCAAATGAGCTTCGGCCCCGTGGCTTTGTCTCTGACAGCCAGCTTCATGTCAGCTGTCACTGTCCTGGGGACCCCTTCTGATGTCTACCGCTTCGGGGCTTCCTTTGTGGTCTTCTTCATTGCGTACGCACTTGTCATCGTCTTCACATCAGAGCTCTTTCTCCCCGTGTTCTACCGCTCCGGCATCACCAGCACCTACGAGGTGAGACAGCTACTCTCTTCTTCTTCACCTTGGGAGGAGTTGCTATTTTCTCTCCACTTGAACCTTTTTTGTTATTCTTTTTTTCCTCTAGTAATGCACAACCTCCCGAAGATAACACATGGTGGCTGAAGAACGCTCTCTTATTTCAGGACAATTACACGTCATGGGAAAAAATGTGTCATTGTCATTGGGAAAAGCTTAAGCTTGGGCTGCACACACCTGTTTTTCCACCTGTAGAATGGGCATGTGAGGTCAATTCCATGAGGCTCTTTCAGTGATTAACTGAGAACCTGTGTGTAAACACCTAAGGAGTTCCCTAACTTGTAGGAGATTCCCAGTGAAAGGGAGCTGAATTCATTGTTTAGATTATTACCATCATTATTCCAAAAAGCACACAGAACACATACTGTGAATGTTGTCATTTTCCAGCTATGAAAACTGAGATACAGATAAATGACTTGGCCAAGACCGTATAATAGATAAGGCCCACTGAGAACCCATTTTGTCTGTATCCTTTTCCATCTGATAGTAGAGCTGAGCACTAAAATACAAATTATTACTACGCTGCAATTTTTAGTGAGGAAATGGTAATGTTATTGAAAAATTAGAAAATATCTTAATGAGAAGGGATTGCTAAATGATATAGGAATTATTTTAATGAGAGGAAAATGAGGCAGCAGTGTTCTTATTTTGCAATAATTCTCAAGAAAAATATCATGCTAAACATTGAATCCGCATGTCTGATATTTAAGTGTGATCATAAATCAGTTTCTATGAAAAGGGGTTTATTCCCTTGTCGAACATCAGCCCTACTGAGTCAGGGCAGAGGACTCTTAAGAGACCTATTTTTTTTAATTCTGTAAGCCAAATGATTTTAAAGGATTACTCTAGACTTCAAAAGCCATTTAGGCAAATAAACACTTTTTAGAAAGTTTTAAAACTTATGATTCCACAGATGATCATATCCCAAATATCCAACATCAATCTCCCCTCCCCCCAAAGAAGGTAACCAGGATGGGGTCTTACCACAGCTGCCACCCGGGATGCAGATTCAGGAGAAAATGACTAACTTTATGTTTAATCCTAAACATGTAGGCACATATCCCTGCTGCTCAGAAGTGTGCTTCAGAAAATATAAATATGTCCTAGATTTTCCCATTTAGCTATTAAGGTTTGACTCCCAAAGGCAGTGCTAGCATTTTAAAAAGAATCGCCTAAGTAACAGCTAGAGAGAGAGAAAGAGGGAGCGACAGAGAAAGGGAGAGTCAGAAAGAGGAAGAAAGACAGAGAGAGGAAGAGGGAGAGACAGAGAAAGGGGGAGAGAGAGGGAGAAAGAGGGAGAGGGCGAGAGAAGGAGATAGAGGGAGAGAGAACTTAAGAGTCAGGAATTAGGAATTCCATTCCTAAGTCCATTGGTTAACAACAGGATGGCTTTGTGCAAGTTTCTTAACATTTATCAGCTCCAGTTTCCACACAGAAAATAATAACTCCCCACTTTCCTGAAGGCTTTGTCAAAGGTGAAAGAGCTCTCTAAACTATAAAAAACTACCCAAATGTGGAAAATCATTTTTACCCCTAACCAGCCCTTCGATAAACGCGCGTTAAGCAGCTACTATGTCCTAGGCACACTCGAAGCCCTGGAGACAAAGCATTGAACCAAGTCCCTGCCCTCATGTAGCTAACTATGTAGCAGAGAAGGGCAGTCAACAAACATGCTGTGTAAGACAATTATAACTGAAATTTATATGCTATTTAACGGTGTGCGGAGCACTGCTTTGAGTACTTTACATATATTAGCTCCTTTGGCCTTAAAATAGCCTTTTTAGGTAGTTACTATTATTATCATCCCCATTTAACAGACTAGAAAACTGAGGCACACAGAGTTAAGTAATTTGCTGTGTGTCACACTGCCAGTAAGTGGCAGTTTTTCGAACCAAGGAGTCTAACTTTAGAGACTATAGGCTGAATCCTTGCGCTGTCAGGCCTGCTAAATATGGTACAGAAAAAGTGAATGGGTGTGGGAGAGGGAACTGACGCTGGTTTGGGTGGAGAATGTTGCTAATTCACTCAGGGGGGTTAAATGAGACTTCAAGGACAGGAGGGCAGTTCGGTGGAGATCCAGCGAAAGCAGGCAATCGCAGTTTAGAAGGGAAGACAGCGCGGGCTAAAGGAGCCACAGACGCTAAGGCCCTAAAAGGGGCGTGTGAGCAGCACATTTGAAGGATGGCAAAGGAATTAGGGCTCTCGGAGAAGAGGGGGCTGAGGGGAGGAGGACGAAGGATGTGATCAAGGAGGTGGGAGAGCCCTGTTACCTGGAGGAGCTGCGAGAGGGCGGGGCGTCAGACAGACGGAGGGCGTGGGCTATTCACAGGGCAATCGGGTTGTCACAATGATGGGGGCACGACTGGAGCTGGGGACACTAGATGTCTCACAGTATGTGAGACACACACGTCTACACGAGGTGATTGTACCATGAGCTTAGGGATTTCTTAGGGCGTCTTAGGGATGCCTCATTCTCAAAACCTACTGCAAATGCAAGTTAGTAGTACTTTACTACATAATAATATTAGCTTTTGAAAATAAAAAGTTAGACACACACACTATAAATTAGTATATTTTCCCCAAATTAAAATGGAATAGAAGCATTGTCTCGTGGTTACTGAGCAATCTGCGCGTTCCATTTGTGCCCCTCAACACAGACTTTGTTGGTGTTAGTAAAGTGCTCCCCTTACGACATTAAACCAACTGCAGATATGTGAAGAGGAGACTTGAGCCTCCCTTCTAATTATTAAATTAGTACAGACCCAGGCAACATAGAGATTTCATTGAATTTAATCTACAAAGTTTGTTGCCCTCTACATATTTTTAAATTTTTAGTACCCCAATAATAGGAAATCCAGATTGTGTAGCGTCCACATGAGGTTATTTTGGGCTTGGCTCTTGCTTTCTGAGAATCGGCAGGATGGCGCAGGGGCTCAAACCTGGACTCGTGACTCAGGCACTTGGCTTTGAACTCTAGCTCTGCTACTCACCAGCCGTGTGACTTTGGGAAAATTACTTAACTTCTCTGGACCTGATTTTCATGTACGTAAAATAGCGATATAAAAGAACCACTCTCGAAGGAGGTCTGTGAGGAGTAAATGAGGTGTGATACGCAAATACTTTTAACAGGGCCTAGCAAACGGTAAATGCCACATAAGAGTTTTGTATTATTATTGTTGTTCTTGTTCTTGGTGTTATTGTCCCCAAATTTATACCACTCAATCTCTCTGTAGCAGCTTGAATTTATGTTTCTTTGTTCATCTTCCATTTCCTGTTACTTATCCATAGATATTCTTTCTAGGGTCTTTGAAAGGACTAAAGGCTGAAAGAGGTGGAGCCTATGTCCATCCCCCCCCCCCCCTCTTGGAACTGTGATGGCCTTGGCACTTCCTTTGACCAATAGAATGTGGCAGAAGTGCTGTGTGAATTTTGAGTCTGGGCTTCATTGGGCTTATAACTTCTCCCTTTGCCCTCTTGGAATGCCGTCCTGGCATTGCTGTGTCAGGAAGCTGGTCTCGTTGGTCCAGCTTTTGGAGGATGAGTGGATACACAGAGGGAAAAAGAGGCACCCTAGTCAACAGCCAACACCAACCGCCAGGCATGTGGGGGAGGCCATCTTGGGCTTTCTCATCCAGCTGCTTGCAGCCACATGAGAGCCCTGGGGAAACAAGGAGAGGAATCACCCAGCCAATCCTCAAAATTATGAGAAATAATGAATCCGTCGTTTTTAAGTCAGTGAGCTTTGGAGTGGGTCTTATACAACAATAGCCAACTGATTTAAATGCTTTGAAAGGCAGTGGGATTTCAAGACTGAGACGTGCCGTCTGTGCTCCGTTATCACCAAGCCTGCCCCGCGTCAGAACATAAGGAATTGTTCTCACTCTGAAGCTACAAATAAGGTTCAGCTCATTTGCAATATCATCCATTTTCATTATCTCCACTTGGACAGTTTATAATTAGTCTCATCATGTCTCCACTTCAGTTAAGTTAATTCCTTCTTTCTGTTTCATACACGAATAAATCCAGTCTGTTATCATCTACCCTTAGCACTAGTTTACAGGCTGGTGTCTACCTGCTCTCTCCTTTTTCTTGGACTTCCTACCTAAACCACGTGGCTTCTGAACTATTCTCTTTAATCCAAACTTTTTCATTATAATAATGCACAGGCTACTATTTCAATACATCTTCTTTTGTAATGGTTTCTAAGCATTATAGACTACATACTGTTTTTTTTGTAAATCGCTTTCCTTTTAGTTTTCCTTTAAATTACATTTGTGGTATTTTAGTAATTATATTTAAATTTTGAAAAATTAGATGTGTAGGTATAGGATACTATTATTGAATATTATTTTAGTATAGTAAATGATGTTCCAAAATATTTATTGTAAAATGGATGTTTAAGGTCTGAACTATCGTTACGAGGCCATCATAAGGTCCCTATAAGGCCTAGCTTCTCCTCCAGGTGAGAAGGGTCACTTCAGCATTTGGGCAGAGGAGTGACACGATGTGATTTGTGTTTTAAGAGTGCTACTCTAGCTGGATGCTGAGCGTGATGATAAGGTTTCGACAGCTGAAGCAGGGGCCTAGTTAGGAGGTTGTTGCTGTAACTGACGTGGGAGATGACGGCGTATCAGAGTGGCAACAGACGGGACAATGCAAGTGGACATATTTTGAAAGTGGGGGAAACGTACCAGGATTCTTTTATGAACTGGATGTGCAGGGGAGAGAGAAAGAGGAGTCAAGGATGGCTCCCTGTTATTTGGGCTTGACCCAACAGGAAAAGCGGAACTGCTATTTTCTGATAAGGAAAAGAGTGTGGCTAGATCAGTTTTGGGGTTTTGAAAATAATCGAACATAATGATGGTAAATATTACCTGCAGTATGTTGTTTTTGTTTTTTTTTTTTTTGAGGAAGATTATTGCTCAGCTAACATCTGCTGCAAATCCTCCTCTTTTTTCCTGAGCAAGACTGGCCCTGAGCATCCGTGCCCATCTTCCTCTATTTTATATGTGGGATACCTGCCACAGCATGGTTTGACAAGCAGTGCACAGGTCCATGCCTGGGATCCAAATCAGTGACCTCTGGGCCACCAAAGCAGGACATGCGAACTTAACCACTGTGCTACCGGACTGGCCCCCAACCTGTGGTATTTTTTAAAGCAGGCAATGAAGCATGCAACTTTTCTGCTGAACTTCCATTTTTACTTTTGACTATAGTAATAGCTATGTACACATCAAAATTCACCACTGAATGAGTGAGTGACTACATGGAAAGAAGGAGTGAATACCTTCTTCTTTCAGACGTAGAATTATGCAGTTGGAATAGTCTCTTTTGTTTTGTGAATAAGAAACCAGAGGCTTGGATCACAGAGTGAGATGGTGGCAAAGCTCAGACTAGAATCCAGGGAGGTTTACTTCCCACCCAGTCCCTTCTTTGCACGCATCTGTTTCTCAAGACTGTCTCTCTCGTTTGACTCAGTTGGCTGAACTTAATGGAACTAAACTGAGATTTTAAAACCATTGACTCTTTTCTGGATCCCTGCTTCAGTTTTCTCACAGCCTTCCCATTTTTCAGGAATATTTTCCCTTTGCTTCCCCAGACTTCATGTGCCATCCAGTTCCAAAGCCAACACCACATATTTTTAGATTTTGTTACATTTCTCCACTTCGGTTACCAATTTGTAGACAATTACCTATTGCTGTATAATAAAACAGCCCAAAATAAATCTTTTAAAACAACAATTTGATCTTCTCACACTTCTGTGGATCGGCAATTTGGCCTGGGCTCAGTAGCGTCCAGTAAGACAATAAGGTTCTTCTGCTGGTCTCATGTGGGGCCATCTATACGACTGCCATCAGCTAGTGGGTCCGTCTAGGATAACGCAGATGGGACAGCTTGTCTATGCTACATATGGTCTCATCCTCCAGTAGGCTATTTTGGGTTCTTTATGTGATGAGAAAAGAGTCCCCATCAACAAGAGGACATACCTCATTACACAAGCAATTTTAAGGTCTCCACTTGTATCATATTTGGTAGAAATATTACTGTCTTAAATTGTGTTCCCCCATAAGCAAATCCTGAGACAAGGAATTGAATGCAAGTCATGTTTTGAGAAAGAGATTCTATTAAACATTGGTAGGCCAGTAGCAAGTAAGACATGGAAGGAAAGGAAGCCAATCAGAGGTGTGTTATTGAGCAGGTTACCACTGTGAGCAACTGGGGTTCCATCTCACCAGGGACCTCTGGGAGACAGTACAGATCATGTCTCAGGGCTGTCCTCCCCAAAAGGCAAAGAACCAGGAAAATTATATTCAATTCCTTTTTGTCATTGGCTGAAAGCCATAACACCCCCAAAGACTTCTAGAGTGCCCTGTGCAAGGGCGGAGAGAAAGCCCTGAAGCAGATTATCACAGGACAGGTGCGCTGAGATGCCATCAACATGTCCTGGAACAGTGAGTGCCAATAAGCTGTGGGTGTTGCACCCACAGTGACTACTGCGGTCACTAAGCTCCTACCACATTCCTCTCCCTGTACTTGGCATTATCATACACTATACCATTAGATCTTTGTAAGTGCCAATTTTAGAAAGGGAAAATCAGGGTTTAGTGCAGTAAACGAATCTTCCCAAGGGCATACGATTTGAATCCAAGTTGTCCTCACTACAAAAGTTTTGCACTGTTTTCTCTCCTCTGATACCTGAGACTTTTCATTCCGCACTGATTCCTTACCTCTTTAAGAAACGTTCCTTATATCTGGTGCCCTCATTCACACGTCTGATGGAGTACGATCTGACTCACAGTGTACTGGATGTATCGTCTGAAGAAAGAGGGTCTGAAAATGAAGTGGTTCTTTACTTGGGGGGAGGTTTGAGCAGGGAAAGTTGGGAAATGGGGATCAGTGTGAAACTGAGTGACAATTCTGCCAAGAGGAGTTCTTTCTAGAAAGAACTTCATAGAGGGGCCCACCTTAAGCCATGAAACAAAGCTTGTGTCTCGTTTCCAGGAGAAGGACAAATTACTAGTTAACTTCTGACTTAATCAAAACGATTTTTCTTAAATTCAAACAAGAAAACTACTACCAATTAGAAACTACTCCCAAGCACTACTACCATATTTTTTCCTGTTGTCCCAAGCCTATATAGCGTAAAATCACATTATAAATCCAAAGCACTGAACTGACAGGAATCCCAGGAGAAAGAGGACTTTCTTCGCAGCACTTTTGCAAACCTCGCTCACTCTTTGCACGTCCTTCTCTCTGTTCTTTCTAGTACTTACAACTGCGATTCAACAAGCTGGTTCGCTACGCAGCCACGGTCATCTACATCGTGCAGACGGTAAGGGGTAAGGGCTGCGGAAACGTGGAAATGGGGGTGACAAGACATGGGTTCATTTATTTCAGGGGGCAACTGGCTCAATTAATGGATAGGCTTAATCCTAAGAAAAACCACTTTCTTCCAAGGATAGCACTTTCAAAATATATGATTACATCGAGAGTTGTCTGCATTGCACAGACCCCTATATGTCTGTACAAACAATAACAAACAAATGTATATCATAAACCACAAAGGAAATAAGACATTTTCTTAAAATTTACTTTGAACTCATTTAATTTGTACAAGTTGCTTTGGATATGAAATGCTCTGGTAATTTCTTTTTTTTCTTTCTTTCTTTTTATTTTTTTAAACTAGTTAACTGAGTTGAACCAGAAATACCTGTTTTGCTGAAAATCATTTTAAGACAATATTTTCAAACCAATACTCCCCTTTCCCCTCTGGGACTTCTCTCCACCTCCAGCTCTAGGACCTTCATGCTGCCCCAGGCTGTGGCACACAGTGGTCACGCCTTTCCTCCTGCCTGCTTCCCTTTTCTTCATCAAAACTCCCACTCACTGACTGAAGGATTTAAGAGAGTGAAAAGGAGGACAATAATGCTCCTTGACCTGTCCGTAGATATTTATCTTTTAAAACCCTCACATGAATCTCTAAGGGGTGAAATTCCATTTAAAATAAAGTGGGACTGCGCCCACTTCCCTCAGTGCTGGGAGACGGCAGACATGCTCCCGTGGAGAGCAGCCATGGTGTCAGCCTTCCCTGCACAGCACCCACTCCTCACACACCTTCCCATGTCCACTCGGAAATCCATATTGCACCAAACTGCTAGGCGTGTTTGTGTCATAGTGATACGTGCCTAAGGAAGGCGGGGATCAAAAACTTAACTGGGAGCCCATTTTTGTGTCCTCCAGAAATACACCATATCTAGCCATAAAACCTCAAAATTCACAGCAATCTTAAAAGTCCAACCCTCTTCATCTAATGCCTATTATCCCTTTGGCAAACTAGTTACAGTGGTGGATGCCTTCAAAATTAGAGTGGATGGAAATGAGATGCTGGTGAGCAAGTTGAAGGAGATATATCTCCAAGTTCAGCGAAGAACTTCCTAGGCAGCTCTCTCCTCCATGCCACTTTTCTCACTGTTGACCCGATCCTCATTTCTACCCAGATTCTCTACACGGGAGTGGTGGTGTATGCACCTGCTCTGGCGCTCAATCAAGGTGAGTTATGGACACTCCCCCGGGTACACTCCACCATTTGTATGCCTGCGTGTTCACCTCGCAGAAATATACATAAAACCTCTTGTTGGGGCGACTTCCTGTGGTTAGTGTGCTCTGAATTACTCTCGTAGTTACAACAGAAATCTAAAAATTGAGCATTGAAAATAATGCAAACAACTGGTTACTTGATTTTGCCCACATTGTTCCGAACACCTAGTTTGATTGTTTTTTGTTTGCTCATGTGTTTTGCTTTTTAGTCACTGAAATGATGGCAGTTTGCATATTGTATATGCACAACCACTAAGTAAGGTCATCTAAAAGTCGTGGTCCTGTCTCAAAGATTTCATGGCATAGATAATCCAAATGCACGAATAAAAGGTGCTTGTAGTAATTACTTTAAGATTTACACTTGACCTTTTCAAGAGAATAAAATCCTAGAAACAAAAAGGAAAGGAAAAAACAAAAGTGAAATAAATTTCGTAGTGATACCTATAATATCAGAAGGCCTCAAGATTCAGTTTAATGGTGCTATGTACTTAGATGGAGAGGTGTTGACTCATGGTTGGTGTCTAGGTGACTCTGGAGCACTCAGACGAACTTTAAGAAAAGAAATATTGGTGCAAAGATTGGAAGCTCCAGAAGCTTAGGAAGAAAAGTTTGGCTTTTAACATTACATGAAATGTATGGACTTGGTTGAAGTATCATAATGTAATAAAATAATCTTTATCAGAGGTGAGAAAATTTAACCTGAGAAAACTCTAATTTGATTTCCATTTGCTCACAAAGAACACCGACAGAAATATTCTGACTTTTTCCTTATAAAGCTCGCTCTTTTGCCTTCCTCAGAGAAACCTCTTTCACTGCTTTTTCTCCTTCCGTAGTGACTGGGTTTGATCTCTGGGGCTCTGTGTTTGCAACAGGAATTGTCTGCACGTTCTACTGTACGCTGGTACGTATCTAGCCGTGAACAAGCATTTAGCACCATCTCCTAATATGGGATACCAGCAAATCCCAACCAGAGGGCATCTAATTATAGCAGAAATTGCTGTTCCAAAATTAAACAGAAACATGCTGGCTTATCTCTCACAGTTTCCTGAGGAAGGTGCTGTTATATTATTTAAAATTCTTTTAATTCTTTTACCAACCCTGCGTAGAGTTTGGGCTCTGAGCTCATTCGAGAAAGCCATGACAAAGGGAAGATTTAATGAAAGAACTCCTTGTCTAGAGGATAAGTGACTACATGCAACTTCTGAGAAAACAATTTGCTCCTTAACAGTGATTAAAAACCACAGGTAGCGTTCATCCTCCCCTGTCTACTGGCTGAGAAATACACCATGCGTGTGTGAGTGATCAAGGATGGCTGGTGTTTTGTAAACATGAGGATTCCACAGCTGGTTCTTGTCTCTTATCTTTGGCTAAGCATGGATTACAATTATCATTTGGCTTTACACACGCTCTGTGTTTAACGAAGGAACCTGGGTGGTATCGGCAACATATTTATATAACTGTTCCAATCAGTTTAGTTCAAGGAACATTCACTGAGTGACGATTTTTTGCCATGCCCTGCAATGGGAATCTTTTTTCTTCTGAGTCATTGGCACCATATACAGAGGCAACAAGTGACCAGCTCAGAATACGGCAGTGGTTCCCTGACAGCTGGATTCTCTTACCTCCTCTATAGAGAAAAATAGAGTAATTGATATATTATCAGATGGTAGACCATGTAAGTATTTTGGCATTATGTGCACATCACATATTCTTTTAACATATATCACAATACACAACTTTAAAATGCCCTTATCGCTCTTTTTCATACTTGCAAATCCCAACATTTCTTTGCACAGGAAGTTTTATCTTAATTGTTTTCCTTTCCATTCTTACTCCCATAGTTCTATTTCAGACACGTCTCTCCTACTTAGGTTAAAAATAGCCTCCTGCTCCTCCCACATCTGTGACAGATCAGCTGCTCTGAGGAATCTGCCCATAGAAGGATAACTGGATGCTCAGCTAGGGCCTGGCTAAGAAGCCACAGTAATGGGTGACAGAGACAGCGGAATACTGTCTTCCAATCATCATCATCATCATCATCATTGTATGTAATTTTGGGATTAAGAAAAAGAATAACTCTTGTTTGAACAACAATAGAATATAAATCAGGAACAGAGTAATCAAACAGTTTATAATCCTTGCCTTGTTGGGGATTAAGACATTTCTTAAATTTAGACCCTAAATTAAAAATTCATGGCAACATTTCAGGGGATCCATTTAAATAAAATGGTCAAAGCAGAAAAAGAGAATTAAAACAAAACAAAACCTCAACTGATTTAAGCAAGAGAAGAAAAGAGGAAAAAAAACACATGGAAAAAGTAGAACAAATGGAAAACAAAAAGTAAGCTGTCAGAAACAAGTCTGGATATTTAATCACCATGGCAAGCCAAATGAACTAAACCGACTACCTCTTCCCCCCCCCCTGCAGGCCTCTGTCAGATTAATCTTCTAAAAACATCCATTTCTTCACACTGCTTGACTGACCTGATTCTCTTCTTGCTTCCCATTGTTCTCAGGATAAAGTAAAAGCTTCCCAGCCTGATGTTGAAAATCTTCCATTATGTGAATCTATCCACCCATCTAATGTCTTGTCGCCTCACCTCTGTTCCATCCGTCCTCTCTCCAGCCGTGCTGGAGGCTTCAGGGTCTCTTCAAAATAGTGGCTTATTTATCAACACTTTTGCTAATATTGCAGTCGCTCGACTCTGATAGTGCTGGTGGTACAGAGCATTCCTAAGATAACCAGTGAGAGAGATTAAAAAACAAGTAGTGATTCCTGCCATCCAGGGGTTTGCAATCTAGTGAGGTCAAGAAACACGAGGTTCCAAACAACATAGACTGATTAACATATAAGTGACACTAAAGGCACAATCAGGGTTATAGATCCGTGGGGAGAGTGTGTATGTGTGTGTGTGTGTGTTTTGCTGTATGAAGGAGTCATAGAGTCAGAGAAATTTTCACGGTGGCCATAATCTGTCTTTTGACGAACAATTGATAAATCGGTTTGGTCCCTTGCCTCGTGTCTAGCTGATGTTCAGGTCTATGCATACTTTTTCATAACCAGCGCCAAGTAGCCTTGGAAAACTGAGGTCTCTGACATTTGGTCTTCATATCACTAAAATCTGATGTTGTGATTTGGGTTTGGAAGTCTTACCATCTGTAAAGAAAATCAAAATACCACTATTTAGGAAGTGGGAGGTAAGAGATTGATTGTTCCTCAAATCAGGATTTGAACAAAATATACAAATACAATGCTTCTGGCAGGGACTTTAATGTCTATTTGTTTAATTGAAGTTTAATTTTAATTATAAAAGAAATGATGGGACAACCTCCATGTCTTCTTTCTTCTCAAGATACAGATGAAGCCTGTCATCTTTTCACACAAGTTCTTGACACTCTGGAGGAGTAACAGGGAAAGATAATTCTATTTTTCAAGTTAAAAATACCATATGCTTTCATTCTCATAGTGCTTATTCATTTTCAAAGCACTTTTTCTAAGTATCACCTCATTAGTCTTTCCCGATTTGCTCACTTCACCTTTGCCACCACCTAGGGATTCTATACCTGGATCACTCCAGCAGCCTCTTTCTTTCCTTCTTTCTTCTTGGCCACGTGTTCTCAATGAGAATTCCACCTTGCAATCACTTGGGGAGCTTTCAAATAATACTGCGGACTGGCTCCCGCCCAGATCCCTCAGTGGATTCAGAATCTCTGGGGTTGGGGCTCAAACATTAGGGTTTTTTTTTGGCTTATTTGCAAGGTCCCCAAGTGACTCTAACAAGGAGCCGGGTTTGATGACAGCCACTGTAACCTCTTGCCTCATCACTCCATCCTAAGTTCTGCTATTAGATTTCTCTTCCTGAAACTCTGGTTTGCTCACCTCACTATTTGACCTCCTCTAGCTTTTAAAATTCCCTTCTGCGTGAACATCTGAAATCTGTCATTCTCACCTAGTGCTTTTCTTCTTTATCAGTATTCGATCATCCCAGTTTTCCAGAATTAATTCACTGTCACTATTTCCAAAAAAAAAAAGGAAACTCACATTGCACAAGACAGACCCAGGTGATTACCCTCAACTCCCTCACCATTCATCACCTGTATTCATTAATCACAAGCAGTGTTGATTTCACCTGGCAAATATCTTTCCAATCCATCAGCTTCTTTCCATCTCTACCCTACTTGAAACGCCTGTTATCTTGGGCATGGACTACTGAAATAAACTCTTAGCTCATCTCTCAACTCCTTTTCTTCTATGGTCCTGCAATCTACTGTCCACACACCACTGCAACTACTGTGAGACAAACAAATTCTCTCAGCATATAAGTCTCTTTATTTTCTCTTATTGCTGTTGAGAAATCATTTAAGCAGCCTTGTCAAAACTGGTGTATTCTGGCCTTTTGCAAATTCAGCAACCTCCCTTCAGGTGTTGCTCTACACATCCTTCAGTCTGTACCTCTAGCATTCTTGCATTTCTTCAGGCAGCCATCCTGGTTCCTCCACACAGGCTGCTGCCCTCTCCTCTCTGTCCTCTGTACCTGGTAAGTTTGTACACATTCTTCAGAGATTATTTTGAATGGCACCTCCTCAAGACCAGGTCAGGACTCCCTACTATATGCTCCCATGGTAACCTGTCCTTCTTAATTGCACTTTCCACAATTTTAAATAAATAGCTACATTATTGTCTAGTATCTGCTTCTCACACTAGATTAGTATAACTATGAAGTTGAGGAAGGAAGCTGTCACTTTCACTTACCATTTTTATTCCCACGCTTAACATAGTACTTGGCACATAAGAGATGCTCAGTGACTGTTGCTGAATCCAAAAAAGAACGGAAGAAAGAAAGAATGAATGAATGATTGCATTAGCAGGGAGGCTGTGAAGAAGTGGAAGAGCTGCAGGCCTCCTTTTCAAGAACTCACCTGCGTTCTCTCCATTTCAGGGAGGACTAAAAGCAGTGGTATGGACCGATGCCTTTCAGATGGTTGTCATGATTGTGGGCTTCTTAACAGTTCTGATTCAAGGATCGGCTTATGCTGGTGGATTACACAATGTATTAGAGCACTCAAGAAATGGATCTCGACTAAATATCTTTGAGTACGTCCAATGCTACGTTCCCATATTTTATAAAGATTTTGCTGCATGACCACGCCACCTAAAATAGTATCTGGGCATCAAAGGCACATCTCTGTTCATTTACTTCCCTCTGCCCCGCAGCTTTGACCCGGATCCTCTCAGGCGGCACACTTTCTGGACGATCTCAGTGGGAGGCACCTTCACTTGGCTGGGGATCTATGGAGTGAACCAGTCCACCATCCAGCGATGCATCTCCTGCAAAACAGAAAAGCACGCAAAGCTGTGAGTTATTAACAAAGAAACATTTCTACTTTTTCTCCGCCTTTATTGGTAGTTATTATATGCTTCCGTGTGTGTGTGTGTGTGTGTGTGTGTGTAAGAGAAAGAGAAATGGAAGGATTCATTTAACCCTTGTGAAGCAGCATCACCACTCCCATCTCACACGAAAGAGGTGGAGCCGGGTTGGAACTTAGGTCTGTCTACCTTCGCTGGCGTCTTTTGTGACCTCCATGAATTGAGAAGTTACTAGATTAAATTAGGTGCCCTGGGTGGCAAGACAGAAGGAAATAGTACATTTTTCTTACAGTTTCTGTGAGGAGATGGTCCTTATCACTTATTTCATTCAGCATGTGCTCTCTTCAACTATTTTTCTTTCAATGGATATGCCCTTAAAGTTTCCAAGGAGAGGTTAAAAAGGAAGAAATCCTAGGGTAATGAGGCAAGCCATGAGGGGACCTTAGCGGTTCCCACTCTTGCTGGGATGGCCGGTCCCAGGCCTGCTGGGCCTGCTTTCTCTGTGGTACTCCAGTAGGCACACAGCTGGTTAAGCCTTTTCCGAGTCCTGCATGTCATCTTGGATGGCGACCAAAGGAAGCTGTGCATGTTTTTGCAAAACGGGCAGAAATGAGCTAGAATTGCTTCTAAAATGGGCATTTCATCTTCATCACTGTTGTCCAAGGTTCTCCCCGGTTGTCAGGATGCTCTTAACTTTTCTTGGAATGACAAACAGCCACTGTGAATATTTCCACAACTGATTTTAAAATCCTTTCAATGCACAGTTTCTTATTTAGACTGAATAAAAGATAAAGTGCCAAGACATGGTTCGCCATTTTGTATCTTGAATTCCAAAAGGGAATATATTACTTATATATTTTGCACACTCTCAAAAGGAAGAAATAAAAACATTATCTAGTATTCCATCAACTCGCTGGAACATATTTATGTCCTATAACAATAAATAATACTAGTGAACCCTCCACACCCATGATCATCACTTTATCAAATAGCAGAATTGTTGAAAATGTATTTAAGATCAAATGTGACTTTGATCTCAAAATCCATTTAAAATTAAAATTCATTTAAAATAAACTAGAGTTGACTGTGTGTCTCTAAAGGGGAAAATCTTTTGGTGAAATAAACATTCTCTGTTAAACCTAGTTTAAAAAAAAATCTTATGTGTTTGTGTTATTTTTTCTTGAGAACATGCCTAATTTCTATTACTACAATAATACCTGAAAGTTAGGAAATGTATCCTTTTTTATCATATTTTCCCCACAAGGTCAAGAACAATGTTTCGTGCTTATTAAAGGTTTATCACTTATTAAACAAAGTAATGCTTCAAGAAGATCATGGTTGTGTGTGTGATAAATATGTGTGCATGATGTATAAACACATATACGTGGACACACATGTATATGTAGGAGTATGTATATGTGTGTATAGAGGAGTATATATATGTGTGCGGGTAAATAGAGGAGTATATATATGTGTGTGTGTCTATGCATACACACACTCTTGCTCATACACTCTCATATGTATGTTTGTGTTTGTGTAGCTCTAAGTCTCATTTAGTGGCTTAGTTTCAATCAACAGAGTCAATACAGTTCCATTCATGATGGTTGCTTGGAATTTGGAATTTGTTGCATTAGTATTTAGCAGATCTGAAAACTGTCAGAAAGGAGAGATACTTATGAGTAAAGAAATGTATATAATTTCCTAAGCATTTAGGACTGCCCCTCAGGTTCTACTCATCACCACCCCTGTGGAGGGACCAGAGCTATGATAGGAATTTTGTGAGAATAGGGAATGATGAAAAAGTAAAAATTTTCTTTAGAAAAGACTTCCCTGAGAGAATCGAAATTGATTTGTTGACATGATTCAGGAGGGAGGAACCAGTGAAAATGGTCCGTGCAGCTGGAGTGCTCATAGCTGGAGGGGAGGACATGGTGGGGCTCTCATTAGTCACATACCTAGAGCCTCAAAGGCACTGCGGGGGCGCTGGAGGCCACTGGGAGCCAGCTCACCTGGAGGCTCTGCAGAACGTTGATGAAACGCACTGCTCTGCTGGGTTATCTGAGTCGGATGTGATGAAAACACTCCATGAGAGTTTAGGAAAACCTCTGCTACGTGGGGAAAACACATCCTGCCACATAGGTAGGTGAAAAATAGATCCATAAATTTCCCACTGATGTGGCCATGGTTCAAACCACAAGCGACTTATCATATATGCATTTAATTGCATGGCCAGGAATGCTGGGTACTCACTAAAGACAACTTCATGCTAAGTCAGATCTTCCTCACACCTGCAAATAATACCACTTACCAAGTCATATTAGAGCTGCTCCCTGGAAGCTGACTTGCACCCCTGTAGTCTCTAGACCCCAGTTTATCTTCCAGGACTGCTGACAGCACATGATGCTGTGAGGGTGGGAGGAGTCCATGCAGGTATTGGGCCCCTCCCATCACCACCCCCTCTCCCAGCTAAGATAAGCACACCCACATGCAGTCACTTTTGTTGCATTCCCACTGCCTTACTTTGTTTCCCTCGTATCTCCTATCACATCTAAAATCATCTTATTTATTTATTTCATTTCAGTGGTTACTACCTGCCTCCAATCCCAGAACATAATCTCCATGAGTGGGTTCTCTGTTGCTCACTGCTGTATTCCCAGCACCTAGAACAGAGCCTGGTACATAGAGATGCTTAATAAATATTTTTTGAATGAATCAATGAAGTGGCTTAACAAACAGGAGTATTAGCCCTGTAGAGAATCGAAGTTCATTTCTAATGAAAACACATTCACAATCAAGGACTTGAACATTTTATACAATCTTGCCATTGGTTGCTCATTTCCCACAGTTGACTGGTGAAGTTTTAAAAATGTTTTGGGTAATGTATGAATGTCCTCTATATGGCTATATAGCCTACAATATTTTTACAGGCCTACATATATCTTTACTCATTCAGTCCTCATGTTAGTCCTGTAATAAGTAAAGTAGGTGTGTTCCACTCTTTTTACAGATGATGTAACTGCCCCACAATGTTATATGACTCGTCTAAGCTCACATCGTTGTTAGGATAAAGTCTTCCGATCCCAGATCCAAAGTTTTTATAAAAGAATAAATGATATAAAGAGTGCAATCATATTGTACTGAATTTCTACCATTCATTCAATCATTTATTACCCAAAGTAAAATAATTTTATGTGTGCTCTGTGTGAGCTCAATCTATGCTTTGGGGACATAGCACTGTGCTCATTTGAGTGAGGGAAACAGATAAATAAATGAGTAGATTTTACAATTTCAGATAATGATAAATGCTAAAAAGTTGTAAAGCAGCATAAGGAGTAGAAACTGATGAGAGAGCAGGGAGTGACTGTTTCAGAGTAAGGCAGTCAGGGCGTCCTCCCGAGGGACGCCGGAGCGGAGGCTTGAGTCTGCCCGCGCTGACAGCACGAGTACAACCAACGCAGTTTGTAGGTATCGATCGCCTTAGGCACCAGTTGTTTCAGCAAGGGGATCTCTGAATCAACCCCTCCAAACACAAACAAACAAAGAAAACCCAAAGATAAACCTGTTAGAAAACTCCCAAGGAAGTGACTGCTGAGATAAGACTTTTTTCTAATGTAAATAATGTGAAATATAAACTTCTAAATGGAATAATTATGTACCACGTTTGCTTCATAAGTGAGGTCTTTGATTTAAGCGTTTTTTGAAAGTCAGGTACACCTGTGCAATGTAGGTTTCGGGGAGCTTTGAATGTGTGTCCTTACATTTGAATGCGGACGCGCTCGAGTCCATTCAAACGATGGCTGGACCCAAGAAAATGCCCGGCATCACTCTGTACCCCTGCGTTCTCTCCAGAGCGAGATGAGTGCTTGCTGAGACCAGGGTGAGCCCAGCCAGCATGCAGGTCTTCCCTGAGATCAAGAAAATGAGTAATATTTTGAGTTTCAGGGGACAGTAGTGAATACAAAATAACCATAGGATCCTGCAAAAACACTCCAACTGGAATCAAGCATATCTGTTTGCTGTGGGACAAAAAGAATAGCTCCAAAGAACAGGGTAAAATGAACTTAGGTTTTTCATACTTTCCAATGTCTGTAAAAAAACTCAATTTTTTCATCTGAATTAATCTACAAAGTGAATATTTCCAGAACTTGTCTACTTCTACATTTACCTCACCATCCCTCTGGAAGAAAAGATGTTAAAATGTAAGTTGGCTTTTTGACAGTCTCCTGAATCGAGTGGGGGGAAAATCACTTGAACTTACATAATATGACTGATTGTTACAGGAAATTTCATCCAAGAAGATAGATCTCATACCACACTCTGAAGTTTTGCAGAACAATTCCCAGTTTCAAGAGAAAATTCATTGAAAACCTACCACATTCAAATTTTGTGATGTCTAAAAATGTAATATTCTCAAAAAAACAAAATACAAAAGTATAAAATGTAATGACTCTTGAAAGCTGCAGAATTTTATTTTACGGCAAGAAGGCCAAAAACATTTTCCCATGTGTCTTTGGTAATGACGTCACCACGTGGTAATGACGTCACCGCACTGTCATATGGCGTGGAGGCTGCAGTAGACCCGTGTGTTCTTTTCTAGAGCACTGTATTTCAACTTGTTGGGTCTCTGGGTCATCCTGCTGTGCGCCGTCTTCTCTGGCTTGATCATGTACTCCTACTTCAGAGACTGCGACCCCTGGACTTCCGGCATCATCTCGGCCCCAGACCAGGTGTGTGTTCCCTTGGGCCCGTGGGGAGTGGTGGGGATGTGTGTGCTCCTGGCCATCGATGGGTTATGTGGGGTCCTTCTCTTTCCTACCTGGACCACCAGCCGCTTCTCACACCCTGAGGACTTGGTTTCTTTCGTCTCCTCTTGGGTGACATCACCACACTTTGGGTTCTGACATGGAGGAGTGAGCCTGTAAAGCAAAGGTACCTTACCTTGTCCTTGAAGACAGGCCCAGAGCCAGGGCAAAGCGGGGGAGAGTGAAAGGGGGGCTTGAACCCATGGCTTTGGCGGTTGGTGCTGCCTGTGGACTCTTTTCTTCTCTATGTCTCAACTTTGATTAATGATGCTTTAATCTCAAATTGAACAAAATGACCCTTATTTCTATAATGTTTCTGCTTATGTCTTCTTGTCATAGCTTAAACACCATCACCCCCAATATACTATGGTAAACGTGCTTTCAAAAGCCCCATTTATGGAGAGTGTGCTCAGGAGGTGCAGTTGCCCCCTCCTCCTCCCTATATATTCAACTGCCCCTCTGTCCTGTGGGGGCTCCTCTCACACAAATCCAGGTACAGAGTAGAACCGTAATACCTGGATTCCCTGAAGACCCATTTTAAGCATTTATTTTCAGGGTATAATTGTTAATATTAAGGGTAAACTGGCAAGAAAAGGGCATACATCGTGAACATAAGAAAAATTTTAAAAGTTCCTGAACCTCCTAAAGTTCATCCAACCCTTTTTCCTAATATTGACTGTCTCCTTCCTACCCCTACAGCTGGGCCTCAGGTCCACAGAATTGGACTGATCATAACCTTAGTCCGTGCAAACTCCTTGATTATGACTTTACTTTGTATTTTTTTTCTTTTCCATGTCCTTTTGCTATCAAGCTACATTCCCACATTTCAGACAGTGCTGTTGAGACCACTAATCCTGTCTTGTTTTGCCTCCTCGCCAGCTGATGCCATACTTTGTCATGGAGATATTTCCCACAATGCCGGGACTGCCGGGACTCTTTGTGGCTTGTGCCTTCAGTGGAACTCTGAGGTTAGTATACTGACAACACTCTGCTCTGAAGATGATGATGACAGTGATGGTAGTGATGGTGACAACAAGGATGACGAGGATGATGGTGGTAGCAATCACAGTATTCACTGAGTACTTACTGTGTGTCGGCTGCCTGTTGAACGCTTTATTTGTGTGTGCTCATTAGTTGTCACGCAATATTTGATACTGAAGCTTTGCTCATGTTATCATCAGTTTACAGAGAGGGAAACAGGTTTAGCAAGGTAGATAACTTACACGGGGTGAGCTAGTGACCTGCAGAGGCAGGATGTAAGCTTGGGTCTGCCCCAACGCTAGATCTCTCTGTTTATTTTCTCCACCTTGTCTGAGGCCAGCTGCCCCCACGATGTCACACGACCTTTACACAGGCAGCTCACTCTGCTGGCTTTCTCAATCAGCTGCAATGTATTCCTGCAGAGCTATCCTTTCAAATCCATTTCCCTGCATCTTCAATAGCACACTCAGGCTGCTACAAAATTATTCATACATGTATTCTGACAAATATATCAGAAGGTTTATATTGTGCCAGGCACAGTTGGTGATGGTGGGGATACTGCAGAGAACAAGACTGACGTAAGGGTTGCCCTATACGGAGTTTGCATTCTAAGAGACATGGAAGATGGACAATATATAAGTAAACAAAATAAACCAGATATTGTTTGATAATGACAAATATCATAAAGGAAAAGACAGAGTGACGACCCGGAGAGAGGTGAGAACTCGGGGTTCTACTTTTAACAGGACATTTAGAGAAGTTCTCTTGGAGTTGGTGACATGTGTGTTGTGATCTAGAGGATGCCAGGCAGGAACCTTTACAGGCAGGGGGAAGAGCACAAACGAAAGCCCGAGGAGATAAGCTGCATAGAGCAGTGGAGGAACAAAGAGAAGAGCTGAAGCATAAGGACCTGGGAGGAGAGCAGATGGCAGAGAATCTGAAGAGGGGAGCAGGCCTCAGATGAGGAAGCGCCTCCGTGAAAGGGGAAAGAGTTTGCATTTGAGGTTGAATGGGAAGGCATTTGAAGACTTGAAGCAAGAGAGTGAGTGATGTCACACAGTCGAAGACCAGCCTGCTACGTGGGGACAGGACTATGATAAGGGCAAGAGTGGTGAAAGCGGGTGATCAGCTGGGAGGCACTTGTCTTAGTCCAGGTGAGAGATGACAGTGACCTGGAGGAGGCTGGCACAGCAGCGCCGAGGGCAGTGCACTAAACCATGAAGATGGGGTCATTACTTTTCTTCAAGCCGCGTGCTCTGCCTGGTGAAGCAGAGACTCAGCGGCGGGGTAAGCCTCATTGCCCTTCCCGGAGCTCAGCTGCAAAGAATCAGTTATAGGATGGGTCAAGGGCCCGTTTTAGGAGAGTAAAATGATCAGGGTCAAAATTCAAACAGTACCAGAGGATAAAAGTAGAAACTTTGTATCTTATTCCTCAAATGCCTGTCTCACTCCACAGAGTCAACCCCTATTAATGATTGCTTTTTAATAAACCAGAAAATTTATTTGCTTGTGTGAACATGCATATTTTTTGGCGTACAAAAAAGGGATCATGTTATATATCCTGATTCACTTTTTTAAATTAATATAATCTAGAAATCTTTCCATATCAGTAGTTCTACCCTATTTTTTTTTATCTACTCTAATGTATTTGACCAATCCTTTGATGTAAGGCATAACTGACAATGTGATGTCCTAGTCTCTTCTGGCTGCTATAACAGAATACCATAGACTGGGTGGTTTCTAAACAGACATTTAGTTCTCACAGTTCTAGAGGCTGGGAAGTCTAAGAGGAAGGTGCTGGCAGTCAGTGTCTGCTGAGGGCCCGATTTCTGGTGCATTCATGGTAGTCTTCTCACTGTGTCCTCACATGGTGGAAGGGACAGGGACGAGGGGCCACTCTGGGGTCTCCATAAAAGAGAGTAATTATGTAAAGTCGCTAATCCCACTTCTGAGGGCTCCACCCTCATGACCTAATCACCTCCCACAGGCCCCACCTGCTCAAACCATCACACTGGGGGTTAGGGTTCAACCTACAAGTTTTGAGGGGACACAAAACATCAGTGTGTAACACATGACAATGTATATCTTTCTGAGATTGTGTAAGGATATATGTAGGTTACATTCCAAGAAGTAGAATTAGTGTGTCAAAATACATATTGATTTAAACTTTTCATGGACATTGCTAAACTGACTTCCAAAAATTTGCACCAGTTTGTACACTGAAAACACTAGTGTCTCCTGCACACCACCATCAATGCTCAGTACTCTCAAACTTTTAAACTTGCCAATTTGATAGGAAAGAATGGTAAGTAATTTTAATATGAATTCCCTTGATCTTAAGTGGGACTGGCTACTTCTCCCTACTGCCTTTGGACATTTGTATTTCTTTTCTAGAAAATGTCAGTTCATGTTCTCTGTTAATTTTTTTAAGGTTTCCTCTTTACATATAAGGAAAATACCCTATTGACATATGTCTCATTTTTTCTCATTTTTCCTTTGTGTATTTGCTTTATTAATGGTATTTTTGAGTATATGGAGATTTTAATTTATATTAACCAATTCTTTTACATTATGGATTCTGGGTTAATATTCTGAGAAAGGTTTCTCGATTCCATCATTATAATAATCACCCAGACACCATTCTAGTATATTTATTGTCTTATTAAATGTTAAAATCATTAAATCATCTAGACTATACATATGGATAAGAAATGAAGTAGAGCTCCTGCCTTATTTTCCTTCTAAGTCAGTAGCCAGTTGTCCCATTACTTTTTAGTAAATAAGCCATCTTTTTATCATTGATTTGAAATACTATTTTTATTATCTCCTACATTCTTCTATGTACTCAGGACTTTTTCTGGATTCTTTTTTACATTTCTTTGGTCTATTTGTCCACAACTATGCCAATATTAATAATTTTAATGACTATGCTTTAAAATATGATAATATCTGTTAGGCTGGTACTTATTCATTACTTTGTTTTTTTTTGGTGAGGAAGATTGTCACTGAGCTGACATCTGTACCAGTCTTCCTCTATTTTGTATGTGGGATGCTGCCACAGCATGCTGATGAGCGATGTGTAGGTCTGTGCCCAGGATTCAAATTGGTGAACCCCAGGCCACTGAAGCAGAGTCTGCAAACTTAACCACTACACCACCGGGTGGCTCCCTCATTACTTTTTCTATGATAGAATTTCCCTTGATATGTAGGATTTTTTCCCAATTATTTTCAGTTAATTCTTTGGAATTTGTACTGAAATCATGATATCTGCAATTACTTTTGAGTTTTCTCTTTTCTAATAGTTACAGTTGTATGTTCATTATCTTATATAATTGTGCTTTGAGAACAGTGATAAATAATTGAGGGAGAGCAGAAAGCCTTGTTTGTCGTGTACTTTAAAGGGAACGGTTCTTGGATTTCGCCATTAAATATGAGATCAAGTTTTCATTTCAAAGATTTTTTTACGTTTAAGAACATTTGCATAAAATTAATGAAATTGTAAAAAAACAACAAAAAAGTATATGTTTATTCTACTTTTACAAAATATTTTTATGAGAGAGAGATATTGGATTTTGGTAAAATTTTGGCATTTTCAAAATGGATATTTTTTCTTTTTTTAACTTTTGACATATTAATATGTTAACAAATTTCCAAAATAGCAACATCCTCGAATTCATATAATGACTTTAACTTGCTTATGCTTACTTTTAATCTAGTGTACTGCTGAATTACTTTCACTTATATTCTTTTTAGGATTTTTGCAACAGTACCACAAAGTGAGATTTTTCTGTGGTGCTGGTACTAGGATCTTAAGGGAACTGAGGACAGAAACCGTGAGCACCAGACGACCAAACAGAAGTAGAGGGGACACTCTAGCTTTTATGTCGTCCCTCTCTACAGAGTGCTTTTTTTTTTCCCTCTTACTCTAAGGCTGACTCTCTCTGGACTGGAAAAATAGACCTGTGAATAGGTATTCCCCCATAAAAAAATGGTTCACTCTTGTGATCTCAAGTACAAAAATTCCAAGAAACAGACACCCTGGACAGTGCATGATATAGAGAGATGACTTTTGCTACAATGTTAAGGAGGGTGTCAGATTGGGAAAGGGAAAGACAGGAGTGGGAATAGAATAAAGGGATAGTGGTTAAGGGAGAGAAAAAAAAAAAGATGTCCACCATCTTGTAGCTGTTTTAGAATCTGAGAAATTGCAAAAGCACCCCAGCAGAGAGTCTACAAATCTGATCCTTCTGGGCCAAATCTAGCTTTTTGCTCCCTCTCTCCCAGTGAATTTACTGGTTAACCCTAATGGTTGAAACTTTCCGCCATATACGTTGGGAGCATGGAAGCTCTTTTCACTTGATCATCTCCTTTCTTTATTTGACCTTCACGGAGCTGCAGACAGAGGAGGAGTCTTACAGGGAACGTAAACCATGCCTTGATTCTCAGGAAAATGAGAATGGTACCCTGAAGTACTTAGAGTTTCACTTTCCAGAAATGGGTCTTAGGAAGTTTCTACCTGCTACATCTGTCTTTTAGGGCAGGAATTTGTAACTCTTGCACAAGATTGGCCTGGAACTATTCCAACTGAAGTAACCTACAGCTAAAATTAATGGTCCTATTATTTTGCATTACAGAAAAAAGGGAAAGTTAAAATTTTCTTCCATGCCATTGGAAGACATGGAAGACATTGGAAGACAAGCTGTAGCTTGTCTTCCAATGAGCACGGAGGACAGCAAAGTAATCAGCTAATGAATATCAATGGAAAACTTACACACAGCTGGCCAGGTTTTGTTCATCAGCTTGTTTCTTCCCCAGAAATTTGTGGTGGCGACTTTGCATCACAGGAATTTAATATAGATATCTAGTCTACTAGCTAAAATAGTCCTGATGTGTCTGAGGAATTAAATAAGCTTTCCTGCTATTCTGCAAAGAAAACCCCCACTTTCAGGTCCTCTTCACCTGAGTGAGTTTTAGAGCACGAGACTGCACTCTGGTTGGACAGTTGGAGAGAGGATATCCGAGTTGTCACGCAGCTGTGGCTTTCCCTCTTCTCAGTCTCGCCGTTTGCCTGTCTCCCTAACTAATTGCATTCTAGCCACTCTGCTGGTTTCAGTTTGTTGGATGCAACAAGCTTTCTACCTTGTGGCATTTAAATGTAATTTTCCTTTATTCTTGACCATCTTTTCCCCAATTTGCATGGGTCCTTTCAGTGCCTATCCTAACCATCACTTCCTAAGGAAGAATCTCCTAACTTCATCTCGGTTTAGGTCTCTGCAAGACATCCTCTCATGGCACCTTGTCATTTTCCTTCATAAGCATGGTCGTCAAGCGTATAATTGGCTGTTAAATGTCTATGTCACTAAGTAGAGTGTAAGGTCTACGTCTTCCTGGTTCACCACTGTATGCCTAGCACCCAGAATGAACGGACGCATACGTGAAGGAATGAAGGAATGAATGATTAACTGCAAACTGTGCTGACTCCTAGATGAGGATAGTCACTACTCTCTGCCTCAAGTCCAACCTAAACACACACACACACACAGTCTCTCTGCTACTGCCTGCTAACTCATTTAATGTCTAAGGGGAATTAGTGGAAGTTAGAATGTGAAAGCCCAGCGTCTTCCTGGAGTCTGAGGAAGAAATCAAAGGGCATTAAGGACAGAAGCAGCTTTGAGGAGTGAGCAGACAGGCCACATACTTCCTTGGGAGTCCCAGAATAAGGACATGTCTGCATCTGTGTTTTCTAAAGCCCTGCCTTGTCTACTTGCCCTGGACGACAGGGCAAGCTGGTCAGCTTTATTTAGCTTGGACTGTGTTCTCGCTTTTCTCTCCCTGCAGCACCGTGGCTGCCAGCATCAATGCCTTAGCAACAGTGACCTTCGAGGATTTTGTCAAGAGTTGTTTTCCCCATCTCTCCGACAAGCTGAGCACCTGGATCAGTAAAGGCTTATGTAGGTACAGCTGGTGGATCTGCTCTTCCACGTCATGAAATGTACATGGGGTACATGTCAAAATCCTGCACATGCTATTCAGGACACTCCTACAGGCACAAATGCACACTGAGATACACGAGGAACCTCACATGTAGATTCTTGTACTTCCACGAGTACCGGGAAAGAATGGCCAGCTAGCTTACCTTTCACCAACCTTATTTTCCACGCTCTTCTGTGCTCACCCTAAACTCTAGATCCGCCAGATCTCTTGATTTTGCTCTGTACTGATCAGTTTAGTCCCTCTACATGGGAAGATGTTCTGCTCACCATGACCAGTCACTTTGTCTAAGAAAACCAACCTCTTTTCTAAAGAATCCTTTATTACCAAACTCCTAGTAATCTCAACTCAAAGAATAATTATTCCTTCCTTAATTTTATAATTGCTAATTATGTTTATAATCACTGTAGCACTTATCATATTGAGTTATAGTGTTACAAAGTTTGCTTCTTTATAAGTTTAAACAAATTATATGCTTATTTACCTATTATAGAAAATGTAGGTAATTTTGGAAAATATATGTACTTTTTAAATAAAATTATATTTAATTTTGTTCTTGGTTATTTTTTTCCCAGCATATTTTAGTGAGCATTTTCCTGTGTCATGTATGCATTCTTTGAAAACATGGTTTTTGAGTGATTGTTTAATACTCTATAAAATAGCTTATTTTCTTATTTTTGTTATTGTTGCTTTTTGAATTATTTTTTCATTTTTTCGTGATGTTGTCATGAAACTCATGTACATGAATCTTTAACTGCATCTGTAATTTTTTTTTCCTGAGTAAAAACTTCCAAAAGAGAATTACCTGATCAAATAATACAAACTCGTTGACAATTCTTAAGAAAAATAGTTCCGACAAGGTCCAAGGACATCATGTATGGCAGCAGTGAGTGGTGACATAGTTCTCTGTGCTCTTGATATTAGTATTTTTAAAAGCTGGCCAAATTCATGGGCAAAATAACATCACATTTTTGCTTTAATTTACATTTTTTGATTTATAGGGAATTTGAACATTTTTCAGATGATAAGTAGCCATTTGTATTTCTTTGTGAAGAATCTATTTGGGCTGTTTGTTGATGAGATATTAGAAATTTTATTTGTAAAATCTCTTTATATCTAAAGGAAATATGGTCTTTGCATTTTGCAGAACATCTCCCAGATCTTTTTAAATTACATTTTGATGTGTAGAAATTATAATATTATATGTGATCATGCATATTATAATTTCTTTAACTATTTCATCCATTTCTTTATGCTTACAAATTGCTTTTCATTCAAAACCCATTTATATATTTCCCTATAGATTTTAAGTAATTTTATATTTCATGTTTAATATCCAATATCTTTAAATTATTTGATTTATGATTTATGATGAGGATCTAAATTGTTCTTTGTCTTATATAGCTAATTTTCTCAGCATCATTAATTAATCCAATATTCTTCAGTGGTTTTTACTATTTTTAATCATAATAATATACAATATAAAATTCTTTCATCCATAAGAATATATTTCATAATATATACTTATTTTCATTCAATTAAATTTAAAATTTATCAATTGCAGGACTAATACTAGCTTGTCTTATATTATAGTTTTGTTGTGTTTTATTTCAAATATCTGGTAGAGCTACTTTGTCACGTTTTTTTAAGTTTAAAATTTTAAAATTTTCTACTGTTACTTTTCTTTTTTTATGAAAAAAATGTTTTAGTTCTTCATGCTTATTTATTCTTTCAGATGCACTTTAATATAATTTATTGCATGTCACCCAGCTGTACCCCAGCCCAATGGGGTTGCATTAAACCTAAAAATATATTTGGGAAGAAGTGCCATCTGTGTAAGCTTTCCATCTAGTGGTAGCATTTATGTTTCCATTTAATAATATATTTCCTCTCTTAGATATTCATCATGCTCATGGCTTCCTTCTTAAGCTTCCCCCCCTCCCCCCCTTCCTCCTCCTCCCACCCCCCTTCCTTGTTGCCCTCCCCCTCCTTCTCTTCTCTGTCCTCTCCCTCCTCCTTCTTTTCCTTTTACTGATATTATGAATGGGATGCTTTTGCCATATCTTCTAAACTGTTTATCGTCACTGTGGAAAAGCTGTACCTTTTTGTTTGTTTTTATTTTGTAAAGCATGTATTGGGCCATTTATCCAACTCTTGTTGATTCTCAAAATTTTAACTGATTTTCTAGTAAGTGTATTTATTGGCTGCAAATATTGACAGTTTTATCATCTCCTTATTCTTGTGTTCTCCCAGTTTGTGTTGTTTGCTCTCCATATCCTTCACCTTTTCTCTTATATTCATAACTTTGTCCTTTTCCTCTGCAAACTTGAAGAACTTAAGTTTTTTCTCAATGTTACTGTGGTTCTCCACAAAGAAAATGTCTTAACAATAATGATTTTAATTCTGCTATTGTGTTTTGTTCCTTACATTTTATTATAAAAAAACTAATCATACAGCAAACTTTAAAGACCTTTGCCATAAATTCCCATATTATGCCACCTAGATTCTCCATTAATATTTTCCTAAGCTTGCTTTTTCACATATCCATCCAGCTCGCTATCCATCCATTAATCCTTCAAATATTTGATACATTTAAAAGTAAATTGCAGACATCAATAAACTTCCCACTAATTATTTTAGCATATATATTACTAACTAGAATTCAGTAACTGTTTAAAGTTTTTTATGTAAAATTTGCCTACAATAAAATGGACAAACGTTAAGTATACATTTGCTGAGTTTTGACAAATGCATACACTTGTGTGACCCAACCACTAAAGATATAAAGCTTTACCATCACCCTGGGAAGTCCTCCCTTGCTCATTCCAGTCAATCCCTGCTCCCACTCCCCTCAAGGGGCAAGTGCTGTTTTGATATTTTCCTCCGTAGATTAGTTGTACCTTTTCTAAAATTTCATATAAATGGAATCACACAGTATGCGCTCTTTTTTGTAAGACTCCTTTCACTCCGCATAATGTTTTTTGAGATTTATCCATGTTGTTTTGTGCATCAGTAGTTTGTCCTTCTTATTCCTGAGTGGTATGAAATTGTGTGGGCGTACCATCTCTTTAAACTTCTACTTCTATGGGTGGACTGGAGCCGTTTTGAGGGTATAATGAATAGAGCCACTAAGAATGCTTGTACAAATCTTTTCGTGAACATGTTTTCACTTCTCTTTGGTAAATATCCAGGAGTGTGAGTGCTTGGTCAACTATCATGATTTTTACACCCCTTGCAGTCCTTTCTTATCACACCTGGATCCATCTTCACCTAAACTTACTGGTGTTGCACCCTGTCTTGCTGTTTTTTCATCTCATTTGTTTTCTCTTGACCTGTACTTGTGTCTTCACTAAGTCTGTATTTTTGCCTCATATTGAGATTGCCAAACAGTTTCTCAAAATGCTTTCTTTTCTTGTTCCTAAGATAAATTATTTGCAGAAAGCATACTCTCTGTTTGAGCTTTTAGGTTAATATATTCACGCCCTTGTTTGACAACATTTTGCCATAGATCCCATATTTCTTTTTCTTTGTACTTATCCTTGAACAAAGAGAGATCAATGCTGACCACATGTTCATTACCTGGGTATCTGAGTTACCTTGATTCTATTCACCATCTTGCATAATGAGTTAGAGCTAACGGCAGGCAGATGGGCATTACTCCCAGGACAATTCCCAGTTTCCAGCAGATATTATGAATCTGCTGGATCGAGGCAAGAGTTTCTCCTGTGACCATTGTTTGTTGTCTGATCCTCTGAGCTGATGTAGCACTGGGAAAATCCACAGCATTTGCTGCATCTGTGGAGCTCTCTCTCTCCCATATCTACTTTTTTGTCTGTGAGGCCATACACTCTAGGTCTTTATGGAACCCCCAGCAAGTTCCCCACAACTTCCTGCCTTGCAGGTTGCTATTGATTGCAATCTAGTAGCAGTATAAAGATTTGGGGCTGGGGGCCGACTGACTCAATCAATCAATCAGCACAAAAAAAGTAGAACCCCAGGGTTGAAGGATGACTGCCTAGACTTTAGTTTGATATGTGCTGGCCCAGCAAGGGGGCCACCCATAGTAGAGAGAAAACATGTCTTTTGTTATTTTCTTCAGGGAGGTGGAGTTGTCCTTATCCATCGAGAATACGGAATCAGGGCAAACGTTGTTTTTTGCAATCTAGTCTATCATCCTTAAAGATAATCAGAACAATTTTAGAATTCTTAAAAGTGTTTATTGATCAGACTTGATTTTCAGTATGTTGTGAGTTTTCTTATTTTTCTGCGTCTTATTGAGAAGTTGAAAATTATGGCATCAAAAGCTGATAGGCTGATTTCAATTTGAGTGAGTTCCTGACAATAAACATCATGAATATCATGTACTAAACCTGAAATAAAATAATAATAATAATGACAAACACATAGGGCTTGCCAGGCACCAGACACTGTTCTCAGGGATATTTGTTGTATATCAACAAATACATGTCTTTGTTGGATAAATTAATTTATTTATGTGTGGTCCCTTCCTAGAATGTGAGATCTTTGGGGCAGGAATTAGGCTCTGACCTTATAGCACTGGCAGCTAGTAAAGTGCCTGACCTGTGGTCAGTACTCAACAACGTTGAATTAATAGTCACACTGGGAACTCAGTGAGATATTTAGCTGAGAGAGAATTTCAAATAGAAAGAACAAAATCATTTTCTCTCCACTTTGCCACTGTCTCTATCTCCAGCCCTTTGTATCTCTCACTCACTCCCTCTCTTATTTATGTTATAAGTTATAATGGGAATTGAATGTACGTTTAAATGATTTTTAAACAAAGGTCTTTTACAAATATGGCTTAAAAGAAGGCATCATCTTAAAAAGATGACTAAGTTGCATGTACCGCTTGCCTCAGAGGGAACTTCTGCCTCCAGAGGTGCTTTGGAGCAGTGCCTGGTGGCCCTTACAGCACTCCAACATAGACATGTCAACAAACAGATCATTGCGTGAGAGACTAAGGGCCCCGGGAAGGAATGAATAAAGCACTAAGGGAAAAGACCAGAAAGTCTTTCCAGACTTGCAGAACCTGTGAGGTAAAGTGTATAGATATTTAGCCATTCTAAAGATGAAATACTATCTGAATCCCAGAGACGTTATTAACTTCTCCTTCAGCTGATTGTTGGTGAGTGGTCGAAATGGGATTCATTCCCACTGACTTAGTCTGGATTAGTCTAAACTAGTGCCTTTTCCAGATTTTCATGTTGCTTCTGCATGATGGTTTTCTTCTTGAATCCTGGAAGAAAAAATCACTGGAGGCTGGATTCCAGCTCATTCTGCCTGACCTAGGAAAGCATGTGTTTGGGAGAAAAGTCCCCCAAATGCCCTTCCTGGGGCTCGTGCTGGCTGAGTGGGGAGGACAGTTCTTGCTGAGATCCCCTCCCCGAGGGCTTCCTCAGACGGTGCTGGGCAGGGGCGCCGGGAATCCCTGCCAGCCAGCTTGCTCATGGTCACGGGTTTCCCTTCTTGCAGGTCTCTTGTTTGGTGTGCTGTGTACCTCCATGGCCATGGCTGCGTCCCTCATGGGGGGCGTCATACAGGTAATGAAAGAAGGGGAAAAGACACATTGGACTTCATAGCGACTTTTTACCCATTTTCTTTTCTAATGCTTTGCCTATTCCTCCAAGTCCCAAACGCTAAGACTCTCTGATACTGGGTCCAAATTAAACAGACATGTAAAATTTCAACCAAAATTATTTTCAGATGGGGAAACTATTAAAAACTAGTAATAGGACTCAGTGACAAGGTACACTGTAATAAAATTAGACACCCTTTTAAAATCCAGATCTGAGAATTTATGATCCTGAAATAAAAGTGGTAATGATAATTATACTAGTAAAAAAACAGTAATTAACATTAGTAGAACACTTAGTGTGTTCCAGGTGCAGTCCCAAATATTTTGCCTCATTGAATCTTCATCGCTTCTCTAAGAGGTAGTGTGACTAATGCACTGATTTTACAGACGAAGGAACTAAGAAGTAAGGAGGTGAAGTAAGTGCCCCCAGACCACGTGGTTAAAGAGTGGTGGGGCTGGGATATGAACCCACCTCTATCTGTTGTCCAGGCTGAACGGCCTCCTGTATGTCCAACTTCCCGTGCCATTAGATGTCAGCGCTAGAAGGAGCCTTAAAGAGAATGTTTCAGTCTCTTCATTTTGTAGATGATTACAGAAAAGAGTGGCAGTATCCTGCTCAGGTTCTCACAGCTAGTTAGTGGCTGAGCCAGGTTTGTGACCCATCTCCTGAGTCACCTCCCCCCTCCACAAATGGCCCCCACTCCCAAAGCAGCATGAGAGAAGCAAGTTTTCTGATTCTACTTCAACCCTCTCCATCCCATTTGTATCTTTGCATAATTTGGACACCCTTTATATTTTCTTGGCATGACACAGGTTTTCAATAAATGTCACTTAAATGAAGAAACGAACAAGCGTAAGAGAGTAGTAATCACTGACTTTTAGAGCATTTGTTCTAGTTCCCAGAGCAGTGTCTCTTTCTTGATCCTTCCAATGACTGTTTACATAGGGTCCATTATTTCCAACTTAAGCTTCAACGAACTATGTCTGGGAGAGTTAAGTGACTAAGTGATAATTCTCTTGCATTCAAATCACCAAATTGTTTTCTTCCAGAGATATTTGCATTTTAAGCCTATTTGCAGTTGAGGTCTAGAGGGGTCCAGAATAGACCAGGACTCCTCCCAGTCTGGGGTGAGACCTGGGCCATGGTGAGGAGGCAGTTATGGCCGATGCTCTCATCTGCTTGTCCTTATGCAAACAGGTATGCTGGGCCCACCTTCTTGATTGGTTAAAATGTGTGCCCCCCGTTCACACAGTACAGGAGATTCTGGTAGGCAGGGAATGAAAACTCTGATCTTGTGTTTCCTGGGAGAGGTATTTGTCTCTAAGATGGCCTCTCAGTTCTCTGAACTTGACAGGTGGCAGGAGGACAACCGTAATTCCCCTATTTAATTTTCTGAAGGGCTCAGCTACATTAAATCGAATGGAACAACATTCACATGCAGGTTTTAGATATGGGGAGATGGAAAGCAGGTTCCCCAGTGTGAGGCTAGAGCCCAGTTTAACGTTGTGTTCACCACGCCAACCCACATTCACGGCGTGTGTTTGCCGGTGGGCCTGGGGGCAGGCAGCCTTCAGCTCCTGAAACAAAGGCTCTTTCAGTGTTTTAGTTTAGGATTTTACAAAGTGGGATCTGGAGCCCCTCATCCTGTGAAACGTTCCAAGAGTGAAAATTTCCAAAGGCGTAGGCTTTGGGGAAGTGCTGCCCCCTGCATTCGCCCCTCAGAAATCCACAGCCCCCGTGAGCATAGCGAAGGCTCTGGGAAGACCCACAGTAAAGACACCTGTTTCACTGTAAATACGTGACCATAGACCCGCCTGTTCAGGGTGGGGTGGGAGGAGAATGGGGCGGGGGACAGAGAATAGCTGCACAGAGCTCCCGTTGCCTGTTGCCCAGTGATTTGCAGAGCTCCCTTGGGGAGAGGCCCTTCTCTCCAGGCGGCTCTCTAATGACTATCAGCTAGTCCTACTAAGGGCTGTAATGACTTTCAGGCACGTCTGTATCTCAGCTTAAGAAGGTGCTTTCCGAATCTCAAAACAGTCCAACAATCAAATGGCATGCCTCTAGGTAATAACAATGATTATAACGTAATAATAATAGTAGATAACCCTTTGGGGGGCACTTGTCATGTCCTCCAGAGTGCTCAGGCACTGTTCTGAGCTTTCTCTTGGATTGCACACTGAATACTCATAAGGCCCACAGGAAGCCGGGATTGTGATCCTCACTTGACACGTGAGAAAGCTAAGCCTCAGTCAGGCACCTCCAACCCCCAAACACAGGTCATCAGCCGTGGCCGTGTCCTTGCAGGAGGAGCTGAGATGAGATTTGGCTGTGGAGGAGAAGGCTGCTGGGTGAGCTTTGAGTATTCCTCCCACTGAGCATGCTTAACGACGACAACAGAAAGAAAGAGAAAATGAAGATTCGTTTTGTACACTACAGATATACATATTTTTTAAATCGAGAAACTCTTGGATTTTTCTTTCTCTCTATCAAATGAAGACCTTTATTTCTGGAGGCATATTGGCTAATGACTTTGCAAGAAACTGTAAATTTTCTTCCCCCAAAGGGGAAGAAAAACAACTCTCCTGACTTATTGACTCCCCCGTATAATTGTTAGTAAATTAGCTTCCAAATCCAGCAACGATGGCAGCTAGGAATTCATGCTATCAATCAGCAGAGGGAATGTCAAGAATATTAGATTAGCATCGACATTGGAGAGAAGTATCACTTTTAGTCCTGTCTGCCACTGTCTTGTCAAAAGACTATTTGTGGCATTGACGTCTCTAAAAGTTAACCTGGAAATCAATCATAACAATGCTTTGCAGCTCATCTTTCTGGAAAAAAGAACTTACTTTAGAGCTTGGAGAGGACTTGAAGGCCCCTTGGTCCTATTTCTTAATTTTTCGTAGAGAAAGAAGACTCTGAAGTAGAATGAATCTGCGTTAATAACAGAAGATTCTCCAGATCACAGTTATGGAGGCAAAGCCAAAATCAGAATCCAGATATTATGACTATTGATGATGGAATTTTTCAAGAACAGTTTTTCCTTAAACAAAAAATGCAGGCCATTATGATGGGTTTGGTCTGTGCTTTTGACTCGTTGTTTTTTTTAAGATGGTCTTTAGGAGACAAAATGTAGGTTTTAGATCCAAAAAACACTAGTTTAAATATTTTGAATCTCTCATCTGCCACTTTCTAAATGGAATTATGCCTTTAGTATGTTTCTGTCACTCCAATTTTCTTGTCTATAAAATCTGCTTAGTGATACCTACTAAACAGGGTAATGGTGAGGAGTAAATGAGGTCATTTACTTTGGGTTCCTGGGAAGTTCATCTTGATTACCTGGCACATAGGTGGTGCCCAACAGACATGAGATATATAAGATCTCAGATGTATAAGATCTGGAATAATCTAAACCCCTTGATCGAAGAGCCGTCCAGTTGCATTGATAGCACTAGATATGGCTGCATTGCAGAGTAGCTTTATGTGTGTGTGAGTGTGTGTGCACGCACGTGTGCACATGCTTACTTGCATGCATGTCAGTGCATGTGTATGCTCCAGACTCTTGGAAGGCCATGGCACAAGGCTCTAGGTTGATAGGCTATTAGTTTAATGAAAGCTCCTTGCCAACTCACTGGGCTCACTAACAGGTAAGTTGGATTTGGTTGATATAGTTTTCCCTCAAGCTGGAACTCATTGATTTGTTTATGTACCAAATAAATATATCTATAATTTATGTCTCATATCTTACACAGCTTATCAGCTGTTCTTAGTTTGAGCAATTCTATCATTTTGATAATAATTGTTACTCTACTCCTGTCATCCCACCCAGAACACCTCAACAATGTTGAAGCATTAAGTTGGGACAAGGTGGGGAGGCCATTGGATGCTCCATATCCCGTTTTTACGGCTCTATCTTCTTTGGAAATTGAGGGAGTTTGACAAAGGCATTTCCATATCTCTCTCACACACACATACACAAATGCATGTTTCTATGTACAGGTGTTTTTATTATTTTACAAAATGCCTATAATGGAGCCCAGAAAGGAGAAATGATTTCCAGAAGCCATATAATGAGTGACACAGTCAGGACTAGGACTGAATTTTATCTCAGGTCCAAGGGAGAGCTGGTCCCAGGTGGGCCGGGGGATCAGGGGAGTGGAGGTGTTTATCTGATCTGCTGTGCCCCACAGGCTGCCCTCAGCATCCACGGCATGTGCGGGGGGCCCATGCTGGGCCTGTTCTCTCTGGGCATCCTGTTCCCTTTCGTGAACTGGAAGGTAAGAGTCTTTCTCTTCTCTCACGACTCCCAGTTAAGACTGGGCCCCAGGTGTTTCCTCTCTCCTTTCACTCCTTCTGTTAACAAGGCCATTTGTCCTTATTAACAGAAAAACTGTAGCTTCTTTCCACAACAGAGCACGAGCCCTCCTCTCTCTGACTTCAGGGAAGGCTTTTTCGAAGCAGAAAGCAAGGAAAGTAAGAGGTGGTCAAGAAATACTGTGTGTCAGGGCATCAAAGCTGACTCTTTGGGGTTTAAACTCTCTTCTCCAAATTAAAGGCCCACAAAGTGAAATTTAAAATAGATTTGAGTTCAGAAATAGTTTAATTTAAAACACAATTGTGAAAACTTAAAGAAATTGTAAATTTCATTTTTTTCTCTATTTAGTTATGTAAAATCATAACTACGTTAATGAACTAATTTAGGAAAGGGAGAGCAGACAAGCTTGGTGTCTTCTGACATATGAATCTTCTTGGTTTTGTTGGCTGACAAGCTAATCACATATCTTTAAGTAAATGTTGGTTGCATGACTGTGTGGTAAGTATAAATAAAATTGAACATTTATTTGGAAAAATAATATACTAGTTTTTAAAATATTTAAGCTATGATACTTTTCTCAATCTATCAAAATTTCCAGTTTTTCACTTATTGCCATCCATACACTTACATGCATATATTTTTAGAAAATCTTTAGACTCCAGAAAACCTGACTCTGTGCATATTTTTTTAATATGCTATAGGCAGTCACATGGTACACCTAATTAGATCTCTGTGGCTCCCTGACCCTTATTGACCTCTATTCTAGATCAATCTTGTGGGGCTAGGTGAAGAGAGGGGATAAACAGGGGCATTTGGGGACGTGTAGTACTTCCTCTGCTACTAGGAGACACTTTGTTTTAATGACCTTTTCTGATATTGAGGTTGACAAGGACACTTATGTCCTTGGGGAAATAATATGAGGGAAAGTAACATCATAGCCACAAAATACTAACAACTAGCTACATAGCATCACAGTACATTCTAAACATCAATTTTTTGTCTATGTTAGTGGATTATGGTCCTTCTATTTAGTCAGGAAAACCACCTTGTTCTACATTAGTTTTTGAATTTTTTTTCTTATTTCCTGTTTCTTAAGCCCAGGAATACAAGGTGTAAGCAAAGAAAAGATAGGTGAAATTATTGCTTTTGGTATGGCTTGCAAGCTGAAAACAGTTTTGACATTTTTAAACTGTTGGAAAAAAAAATCACAAGAAGAATATTTCATAACACATGAATATTATGTGAAATTCACATTTCACTGCCCATAACGTTTTACTGGAACACAGCCACTTCTTTGTTTGTGTATTGTCTATGGCTGTTTCTGTGCTACAATGGCAGACTCGAGTAGTTGTGACAGACACTGTACGGCCCACAAAGCCTAGCATATTTATGAGCTGGCTGTTTATAATAGAAGTTTTTGGACCCCTGGTCTAGACCGTGGCACACATATTCAAATCCCATGCATTGCTTTAGTTTCCCCAAACAGTAACGAACAAAACATTGTGGTGCTGTTATTGAGGAAGTTTTTTTCTGAATAAATAGAGAAAACAACAAGCTGTTTTTCTCACAGAGAAGGCTCAGCTACCTAGCAGAGGCTGAGGAGCATCCAGATTTCCTATTCCTGTGGTCCTGGTCTCTGCTACGCTGTTCTGTCTCCATTACAGGAGAAATGACTCATTGACTCTTCACTGTTTGTCAAGAAATATAACCCTTAAATGACAGGAGTAGTAGATACACTGGATAGTATTTAGACTCAAACAAAAACCCCAAGCTTGGGAGTCAGAAGAGTAAACGTTTCCGTTTAATAGCTTAGAACGGCTGTCGATGAAAAGTGACCACATTGTCTCCGTTATTTGAGGACTACCCGAACTTCTGAAATTCTCCTACTGGGAGTTGAGATTTCAACAGTTTTTAAGTGATAAGAGAAAAAAGTCAAAAGGAGAGAGAAAAATTTTCTCCCAGAAATCTAAATATAATGACCACTATAAAGCCCTCCCGTGTCTTCATTTAAGAAACACGTTAGTCCTAAGTAAAGCTGAGTGTGGGAGTGGGAAGGGAGGCGGTCTGAGTGGGCTGCTTCGAGTGTGGCCCAGATTTGGGGTGGAAAGTCAGAGGCTCTGAGGCACAGGACTCCTCATCTCATTATTCCTTCAACGGTTTGGTCAAATCTCTAATTAACTCTCCTTTCTCTTCGTCAAGGGTGCACTAGGAGGGCTGATGTCAGGAATCACCTTATCATTTTGGGTGGCCATTGGGGCCTTCATTTACCCTGCACCAGCCTCCAAGACGTGGCCCTTGCCTTTATCAACAGACCAGTGTGTCTCACTGAACGAGACGGAACCGATGTCTCCTCCAGCGCTAACCAGCAGGTACGCTGACCTTAAAGACGGTGCGAAGTCCCAGGGAGAGGGGAACCGGGTGAGAGGAAGTGCGTTCTGCAGCAATAAGCTGGCGAGATTTATCTTGCTCTCCTATGAGAAACGCTCTGGGCCGTGCCAACCATAGAAGAGAGCCCCCAGGGCCCAGCTTTCTGCAGCTGTCCATGCCTCTACATTCCTGTGGACAGGAGGGAACGTGGCAGAGGGTAATTGGCGGTATGAGCACAAAACAGAAAAAATAGTGGAGGATCTGAAAATAGGTGGATGGGCATGAGGAACAGTGTCCTCAAAAAAAATAAAGGATCTGAGTAGAAGAGGTTTATGAACAACGAAATGAGGAGAAAAACTGGACATATTGAGTTAGAAGCGTGCTGTGAACTTACAGCTTCTAAATCAAACTATCCAGGCTTTAACGAAGGGTTTTCCTTTCTATTTCTGGCTGGGATAAGTAATTTAAGATACCAAAATACAGGAGATGATATGGTGTGGGGAGAAGACCACGGCCTTTGAAATCAGAAGCACTGGGTTTGGATTTCGCTTTTCCCATTTATACACTCTGTATCTTTACCCCAGTTACTAACTTGTCATTTCTTGAATTCTCTGAGTCCATGACTGAAAAATGAAGGTGATAGTGTATACTTCAGTGGGTGTTTGAGGGGATTAAACGCGTAGACATATATAGCCAGTAGCTCTGTACCTGGCTTTAATAAATGCGCATTCTCTAATTGTGTGTAGGGACAAATCTAAGAAATGTAGGATTTGTGGAAAAGTATCTCAATTTTGGGCAGCACTTTTCTGATTCTCATCAACACTTTCATGTTCTTGGCCCATTTCCTCTGGGTCCTATGTTCTTAAAATTACCAGATAACTTGACAAATTGCAATTCCGAAGATCTCTCCAGGCCTGGCACAACCTCTCCTCTCCACTGCCATTGTCATCCTTGACCTTCTTGGTCTCATCATTACCAGCTGCAGGACAGGAGGCTACCTTCCTTGCACTATCAGGTTCCCTCCTTCCTCCCGTTTCTTCGCTTCTAATCCATCCTGTTCAAGCGGCCACTACGTTCATGCACCTTTCTGAACTCATGACAGCTGCGCTGAGATGTCTTCAGCGCTCCATGTGCCTACAGAAGGAAGGACACACTCTCTCCTGGAATGAAGTGTCTTCCAAGCCTTGAGACTACCCTGTTTCCAGTGTTACTGCCCTGCCTTCCCCTTCTTCTCATTTTGATTCTATCAGTTTTGCCTTAGGCACATCCCACTCTTTCCTACTTTTGGGTCTTTCATCAAGCAACAGTCACTTTTGCATAAAATGCCCACAAGATGACGCCGCTGTCTCCTAAGGCAGCCTGGACGTGGTCTTCACCCCGTGTACTATGTTGTTCTTTGCTCTGCCCTCCTCCACTTTTGTCCCGCTTTTGCATTAGACAATAAACTCCTTGAGGTCACGTAATGTGTTTCATTCATTAAATGAGGAAAAATTGCATGAAGGAAACAGTCAATACATTCAAGTTTCTTCCATTCTCTTTTCCTCCCTAGAAAGCAGGACTCATCTTTACCCCCCATCTCATAGCCCATCTTTGCAAGCAGAAAGGACCTCTCATTACTAGGATGTCACGCAGTCCTGAAATAGTGACTCTGAGCCCAGGGCAGAGGTGCTTGAGTGTAGCGGGTACAGTTAGCTTAAGAAAGGGAACCTCTAGCACAGTTTCGTTTGCATTCCCACATAGCATTAAATAAGAGGGGATGTTTTCAAATGGCAGGTAAGTCATCTTCCCAGGACATCTATTTAAAAAGTAAAATCAAAGCACTCACATTGATAGGAGGTTGCTGGCCCTGAGAGAATGTAATCATCTGTGTCACATCTTTTGCCACCTGCCTATTGTAAGTGGGCAGTTTTCCCTATGATGTAAAGTTAAGCAAACTTGTTTGCTAAGTATCAGCAGTGTCTTTATAGGACATTACTGACATTGCAACAAAAGCATCACTCCACTAAGAAAGGAGATAAACTCTAACGGCTCTCCCAGGAGATCTGCGTGTAGACTCCATTTGCATCACTCCAGATTCAAACAGTTTGAAGCTGCCCAGAAACTGAAGAGTTATCAGTGCCTCCTTTTCTTAAAGAGACAATCAGAGCACTCCTTTGCTAGTTAGCTCCTTGACTTTGCATGGCAGGTGGAGAACCTACTGTGGGCTGCACTGGGCG